AATTGTTTGATTTCCTGTTTAATTTTTTCTTGGACCCATATGTCATTAAGTAGAATGTTGTTTAATTTCCATGTATTTGTATAGTTTCCAGTTTCATTTTTTATTGATTTCTAATTTTAATCCATTGTGGTCTGAAAAAATACATGGAATAATTCCAATATTTTTGAATTTGTTGAGACTTGATTTGTGACCTAACATTTGGTCTATCCTGGAGAATGTTCCATGTTCTGATGAGAAGAATGAATATTCTGAGGTTGTTGGATGGGATGTTCTCTAGATATCTGTCAAGTCCATTTGGTCTAAAGTATTTAGATCTTCTGCTTCTCTGTTGATTTTTTGCCTAAATGATCTGTCCAATGTTAAGAGTGGGGTTTTCAGGTCCTCTACTATTATGGTATTAGTGTTTATCTCTTTCTTAAGGTCTAATAGTGTTTTCTTTATAAATCTGGCTGCCCCGATTTGGGTGTATATCATATTTATGTCTTCTTGTTGGATAGATCCTTTTATCATTATATAGTGGCCTCCTTCATCTCTTTTTATGGTTTTTGGCTCAAAGTCTATTTTATCTTATATAAGAATAGCTACTTCAGCTTGTTTTATATTTCTATTTGCATGGTATATCTTGTTCCATCCTTTCACTCTTAATTTATGTGTGTCTTTACAGGTGAGGTAAGTCTCTTGAAGGAAGCATGTTGTTAGGTCCATCTTTTTAATCCAATCAGTCAGTCTGTGTCTTTTGAGTGGGGAATATACTCCTTTTATACTATGAGTTATTATTGAAAGGTATTGATTTACTCCTGGCTTTTTATTGATTTTTGTTTGAATGGTTTAAATATCTTTTGATCTTTTCTTTTGTATTTACTGTTTGTCTTCTGTGTTAAGACTTATTTTAAAAAGAGATTTTAATAGCTCTTTACATGCCTTTTACCACAAGATGTGTTTGTGAGTCTTCACTTCACAATTCCCCCCTTTCTTACAGGACACATGACCACAAGAGAAGGCTGCTACAGAGACCTGAGGTTTCCAGTGAACACATCCTTCTGCAATCCCAAGACCCGACCTGTCACAGGGCTGGTGTCCTGCAAAGTGTCTGCCTGTCCTCCCAGGTAAGGAGTGCCCTGTTCATCCTGATAGGTTTCCAGTTTGTGGATATGCTCCATGAGTCCGTGGCACTCCTGAGTTTAGAGAATGAGAAGCTTCTCCACCATCACATGATGCACAACAGCAAGAGGCCAAAGGAACAAAAGCTGCCTTAACAAGGGACCTAAAAAGTATGTTTGGGCAGGAAAGGGTCGGAAAATTCTTGTGATCGCAGGTGATGTCCTTATCATGGCATCTTGTTTGTTTTATTTTTGCCGTAATTGGCTGCGGCTTGCAGGGGGGATGACACTGTGGTGAGAGTCATGTATTGTCTCTTGGTGTCGGCTCCCATTCACTATGGTTTGCTTTCCCTCCCGACTGAAATGTGTCTGGGAGAACCTGTTGCACAGCCTGCCTCGGTCGCATGCGATTCTGGCCCTGGCAGCCCCTTGCAGCAGAAAGCCAGGGCTTCTGCCATGCCATGTTGTCCTTGTGCTGCCGCCCTGGGTGTCTCTGAACAAGCTTGGGTTCTCTGAGCCGGTGGGTCAGGAGGACCCCACGAGGCAGCCATGGTCCCTCCCTGCTGTTGTCAGCTGTCCTATCCGGGCATAGTCCTAGTCCTGCCCTCTGCTTTCTTCATCTTTACATGGGGACCTGTCATAGAGGGTTGTGCAAATGATCTGAGAAAACATGTTTACAGAAAACATTCTACATCTAACTAGATCCTTCTGACAGCCCAAGGCACTCAAAAACTTAATACAAGATAACCTAATATATTTTGATTATGAAGAGCCATAGTAGCTGGCAAATTGATTGCAAGTTTACTGAATTGTTCCTCAAAAGCAGAAAGGTGGACGCTCTTCCCCAGGACAGTACAAGAGGATGAGAGATGCTGTCTCTACATTCCTCTCAGAGCTGTGTGACCATCTGGCCCTCTCAGTGTAGATGTGGGGGCCACTTATCAACATTTGTGGGGCCAGGACTTTTTATCGGGTCACAGTGAGGGGGAGGGCCTCCCTGGAAGGGCCATGTCCTCCCAGTACACCTGCCCGTTGTGGCTGGGGACACCTGTTAGAGCCACTGGACCTGCCTCAGCCATGGCTCCTTAATCAGCACGCCCCTGCCTGCTGTTGAGAGATGCTGGTCAGAATCTCCATGAGGCTTTGAGTCTTAAGGCCCATCACCTACAGGGATGCCAGACGGTCCCCTGGGGATTCTTGCCAGGCTCAAAGGCAGCTCTGGGATTAATGCACACATGTTGCAATGCTCCACGTGTCAGGGTCTTGCAGCCAGCCCCACCCACCCCGTGGGTCCAGGAGGGCTGCTGCTGGTCTCCCCCAGCCCAAGGTCCTGCAGGCTGTGCTGAACTCCATGGCAGGAGCACAGCCCACTGCGGGCTCCCCCTGTGTCTGGAATGGCACACCAAATGCAGGAGAGGGTAGTAATTTAACCCCATGGCCAGCCAAAGTGACACCATTGTCTGCAAAAATTACCATCCTGTCTGAAGGAAATGGGCTCTTGGACTGAGTTGCATCAAAGATAAACAAAGCCAGACACTAGCTAACGTGGTGAGGACAGATTTTAATCAGTGATAACTGTGGCAATAGGAAAAAGAGTCCAGTGAGAAGTGAGTTCACCTTTGATCTGTGCAGAGGTGACCGGGCATTTCAAAGGGAGGATGAGGGAGTGAGGAGGGGGTGATCAGGACTCAGTTGTGATGGGAAGTGAAAATGGCGAAAAGCGGGAAGGTGGGTGTTGGTCCTGCTGGAACCCATCCGAATTTGCTAAGTGGCGCTTATAGAAGTTAGCCCCGCCCCACCCCCTGCTGCCCCATAGAGGCCAGGAGACAGGGCCCATGCTCAGGTGTTGCTGGAACACACAGTGCATTCTTTTGGCAGCCTGGAGCTTTCTCAGCAGGCACTTTAAGGGGGGCTGGGTCTTCCTAGGGAAGGGGCCTTGCACCGCTAGAGACTGTGTCAGTGTTTGCGCAAGTCTTTGCAGGCCAGGGCTGAGGCCTGGTGGAGAAGAGGGCTCAGAGGTCAAGGACAGAATCTTGGCCACTGCTGTGCCAATTTGACCACCCCAGTTACTGGACAGCCTGTGACCTTCTGTCATGAATCTGTGCAAAATGTGTTAAGAGTGCTGCTCTGTGCACTGGGGTCCTTTTTCAATACCGTGGTTAGACCAGGGTTTTGCTAAGTAGGCAGAATAATCTATGGTGCCTCAGGGCACCTCGTTAACTGTGCTGTAAAGTGGAGAAACCTCGCAAAGTTAGACCAAGAGGGGTGTGTGTGTGTGTGTGTGTGTGTGTGTGTGTGTGTGTGTGTGTGTGTGACTTTCACATGCGGCTTAGCAATTGCATGTGAGAGTAAATCCGCCAGAATGTGACAGCTCAGGATGGCTGGGAACATCGAGAGCTTGCCACAGTTGCTGAAGCCAGTCGTGTGGGTGGACCATGCTGCCCTTGCAGTCTGCTCTGCCCAGGCCTGTTCGGTGAAGCTCATCTACAGAGACAGCCTACCGCAACCCAGAACTAAGTTGTCAGCTGCTCTAAGTCTGCGAACGCTGCAGGACTCAGACCAAGGAGGCAGGAGAGGCTGGTGGCCCCTGAGCAGAGAGAAGCGCGAGCAGCCTCAGAGGGGCAGCTCCTGCTTTCCACAGGGCAGACGCGTAAGGAGGAGGGTGCAGCTGCCACATTCCTTCTGGGAGGGAGCAGAATCATTCATTCAAATCCTGGTTTTCCATCACTGCTATCTGGTTGGTTGGTTGGTCTTTTCCTCTCACTCCCTGCCCCCCAGCACTGGCGCACAGCAGCATCCTCTGTGGGGGCTGTGCTGGAGGAAGCCTGGGGTGCTGGGGGCAGCCCTCCTCCTGGGCTTCCCCACCACGGTGCTGCCCAGACTTCCTTCTTTAAGCCAAACCTCGGGTACAGAATGTTAAACGGGGCTGTGCTGCTGCCTGGTCATGGTCACTCTCCATGGCTTGCTGCTCCTGCATTGCCTGCCCCCATTTAAAATATGTCATAATAGCACTTTCCGCCTGAGACCATTACATGGTTATTCCATTTCAGTAATGGAAATCTAACAAACCTTACATGGTCAGGCAAAACTGTCCTCACCTCAACCGTTACCCCCAATGATCATCATTATCCCTTGCACCCATTTAGATAAATCTGTGCTCCCGGTGCAGAATTTTCAGAGTTGAGATGTGCAAAGTTTCTTCAAAACCAGACCTTTGTTTTGTCCGCTACAGTCCCATGAAGAAGAGTTGTGCCTGGGATGTGTGAGTGCTCAATGATGCCTGAATGAACCACGGTTCCATGACGGCAAGTGCAAAAACTCCAGGCTTGTGGCATGGCCTTGGGAACGTGGTTTTACCTCTGCGAGTCAGTTTACCTGGCTGTAAGTTGGTGAAGAGAAACTGCGTGCAGCCGCATGCCATGATTATGAAGCTCCATGACCCCTCTCCCCTGGGCAGGTTTCCTAGGAGCCTGAAGGTCCCATTTGGAACTCTACCATCGAGAAATAAGGTGCCGGTCAGTTCCTTGAATCAACTCTTTAGTCTGTGCAAGCCCTATTTGTATTTTTCCACATATCTCCCACGTAGAGCATTAGCTCACACCAGCCTCCTTCAAGAGCCGCCCTCTGGAGGCCCCGGGAGTGAGTGTGTGTGCGGGGCTCCCGACTCCTGACAGCCTTACAGACTGAGGTCTCGTCAGATGCTCGGGCACCACGGCTGCTGCTGTGGTCACTGTCGGCAACACTGACATCCACACAAGTGACCCTTCCCATACACCTGCTCCTCCACTCAAACCATCTTTTCCTCCCCAACTCAGCCTCTTGCTCACACCACCAACAATAACTGCCAGGACGTACCCTCGATGTCCATTTTCTCTGTCTTGTCTTTGTTCATAGAAACCCGCTCCCACACTCGTGCACACGCGGATGCCCAACTAGGCGCTACCCCTCGTCCTCCCAGCTCCCTGTCTGGCCAGCAGGATTCGGGCTTGCGCCTTCCACGGCAAGTCCTGAAAAGGCTCTGGCTGCTTGCACTGCTCCTCCCCTGTCCCCTCGTGGGCTGCAGCAGGGCCTGGCCTTTGTGGGCCAGCTCCAGCCCTGTGGTCAGGAGCAGCCCCACAGGGGACTGGGGTGATGAGATGGGGGGAGTCCAGGTCCCTGGTCAGTTCCTAGAGCAGAACTGTCCCCCACCACCCCACAACTGCCAACCAGCTCAGACTTCCACACAAAAGGAAATACAACCGACCTTATTTAAGCTGTGGCTGCTTGGTCTGTGTTGATGCTGCTAAGCCACTCCCCTTACTCATGTGTGCCTCACCTGTGACACCCCACACCGGCCACACCTCCTGTCATGCAGCTCATGTGCTACGGGGTCCATGCTGCAGGTGTCCTCTGTCTCACTGGGTAGCAGGTCTTCCCACCTTCACTGTCCCGGACCCCTGAGCCCACCCCCAGGCCAGAGTCCACAGACAGCACCCTAACCTTCCCTCACCAGCCCGCTGAGCCATCTCGTCCACGTCTACCTCCACCATACTCCCCTGGACAACCCAGCCTGGCCGCACCCAACTCTTGGCCTGCTCTGCACATGGAGTTCAGTAGCTATGTGCTGCCAAAAAATTGCAAAAAATTACACATGTGCTCCCTGTGGAAGTGTGGCCAGTCTTATGTGGGCACTCAAGGGTGGCAAACAGTCCTGATACCTTCCCTGGTTAATTTGTTGTACGTCACCTCCCTTTCCCCGTCCCCCCAGCATTCTTCTCTCCATCCCACACTCTCAATCTGGGACCTCAGACTTCAGAGACAGGAATCAGCCAACGGCCGCCGCTGCTTCCCAGCCGCAGCCAGCTGCATCTCCACCCTGTCGCCAGCCTTCCCTCCCTCAGGATGGGCGGACGGTCCCGCTGCGTCTGGAAGAGATTTCCCTTTTCCTTCCGCTTACTGATTTCTTCAAAAAAGATTTTTAAATGGATATTGTGTTTTTTACTTACTCGGTATTGTAATGTGTATAT